GATTGGAGCTGAATTCCTGCCTTGGACACATCCTAGCTGGGTGACCTCTCTCCTAGTCTCAGTTTCCTCACCTGTAAACCCACAGGACCAGAGGGGATCTTGGCTGTAAAGCCCCCGGCCATCCCTGTCTCCTACACTGGGCCCACGGGAGGCCAGCAGGGCAGAGGGCTCTGAGGCTGCCAAAGGGACAGAGATTTCCTGCCTGCCCATGGCCAGCACACCTGGAGGAGAAGACACTTGGGGTCCCAGTGGGCCTCCCTCAGAGGCCCCGCTTCCTTCCTCTGCTGGCCGGCAGAGGCTGAGCTGCCCACTCCTCCACCTCCTCCCCGGCTCCCTGATGGCTCTTCCAGACCATCCCCTGAAATGTGGCTCTCCTTAGCTGCCATCAGCCAGGATGAGCGGGGGATGGAGGGATGCTCCTGACCTCGGGACAACCTCCCAGTCTCGAGGAGCAGATCAGCCCCCCTGCCCCTGGGGTGAAGGTGCCCAGGAAGGGCCCTGAGAGCTCAGAAGAAGGGTCCTTTGGGTCCGAGCGGTCCAAGGAGGCATCTTGGGGGAGCGGACATCGGTGCTGGGCCTCCAAAGGCCCCCAGGATTTCAACAGAAAGAAAATGCTTCCCTGGCCAGGAGCTGCAGCCCTACCTCTGGAGCCCCAGGGCTGCCAAGAGCCCCCTTGGTGGCTGGGAGCTATAGAGGACCAAGGGCACCCAGGAGGGAAAAGGGGCTTAGGCTCCTGCTGGACTCCTGGTGGGGGGCTTGCCTCCCTCCCCCTCCCAGCTGGCCCTGCCTGGATTGCTAAGGCCCAGGGGGCCCAGGAGGAGGGTCCTACTCACTGCAGGCAGGGCCAGAGCCCCTGCCCTGCCTGTAGCACTTCAGAAAGGCAGGAAGTCCATGGTCTGGTCCATCCAGGAGGGAGCCTGAGGCAGCCAGCCCAGGGGAGGCAAACGTCGTTCCCCACCCCACACACACCAGCCCCTAGGGCACCTCCCGCTACAACCAGGGAGGCAGGCCCCCACCTGGTCAAGAAGCAACTGTGGGCCCTCCAGGGAATGTGAGGGTTTTGTTCCAAGGTGGCATTTCTGCGATGCCTAGGAGGGAAGAGAAGGAAGCCCAGATAAGCAGGGCAGTTTGCAAGGAACATGGAGAATCTATTATATATTTTTCTCCAAACACAAGTAGGATAAACAGAGACTGTCAGTTTCACAAAGAATCCTTTTTGTTTTCTGTTGTGTGGATGGAGGGGCTCCTTTTTTGTGTTGGGGTGCGTGTGTGTGCGTGCGTGTGCGTGTGTGCATGTGTGTGCGTGTGTGTGCGTGTGTGTATGTGCGTGTGTGTGTGTGTGCGCGTGTGTGTGCGTGTGTGTGCGTGCGTGTGTGTGTGTGTGTGTGTGTGTTAGTTCTGAATTTCTAAAAAAGAAAAAAAATCGTAAAGAAAAGGTTTTTAAAAGTTGCAGCTTGTATTTCACAGCCTGGGGGGTGGGCAAGACATCTTCCTAACAGGAGTACCCAGGGAAGGGCTGTGCCCAGGGAGCAGGGTGGGCATTTTGCTTATCTTTGCCCTCTAGAAGGGCCCCTCATTGGCCACTGAAGTGGGAGCAAGGCTCACAGAAACCCAGAGCCTTCAAGCTGGGCAGGGGCTTGGTGGCCACAGAGTCCAGCCTGAAGAAGACTCCGCTGCCCCTTGGCCAAGGGGCCTTGCCTGCAGACCTCTAGGCATGAGGGACAGCTTGGCCAAAGGCACTGAGGTGGGCGGTGCCTTCCCAAGGCATCCCTGTAATGGCTAGAAAGCTCATTCCTGCCATCGCACCCAAATCTGTCTCTCCCTCCCTAGGGGTACTGCTCCTTATTCTGCCCTCGGAGGCCAAGCAGAACAAGGCTGCTCACTGTTAGAAGACCACTAGCGTCTCCTACCTGATTCTCCTCTTCCCCAGGCCCCCCCCCCGATCTGGAGCCCTCCACAGTCCTGCTGTGGACCGGCCCTGGCCTCTGTTGTTCTGGCAGCCCACGGGACATCCGTTAGTGGTGCCCACCCGCCAACATTAGCAGTGGGGGCCCCCCAATCCACTTAGTGGTAGGAAGAGAAAGTGAGCCCAGGTCACTAGCCCTTTGCCCCTCCTCGGGGAGCTTTCCCATCCCAAAATTCACGGTCCAAAGGCACAGTCACCACCAGAGGGCTGCGAAACACATGGAAGGTCATTTTACAGGGTCTTGGGGGGGTCCCTAAAATACAAGCCCAGACCCAGGGCAGAGCAGAAAGCCAGAGCCTCCCCTCAGCCATGAGTCCAGCTCGGTGTCTCCTGCAGCAAAGACGGAGTGTCTTAGCAGCAAGAGCGCATCGAACCCAACAAAAGCCCCAGTCTGTGGGCTGGGGAGGCATTTTTGGGGAGCCCACCAGATTCTTTGCAATGCACCCATCTCCTTTGCAAGAGCAGCAGTCACGTTTCCACCCGTGCAGCTGCGGACGCCCCTGAGGACACACATGTCTGAAAACGTGCCCGTTAACGGCCCTGGGACGGGCCCAACATTGAAACAAGATTCCTCCAAGAAAATCATTTTTTCAGGCGCACTCAGCAGAATATTTAATCCCCTTGGATGCTGCCTTTGGATTGCTGAGATCATGCTGAGATTGCAGCTTTCTGGCACCATAAAACCCTTGCTTATGAAAAGAAGGGAAAAAATATGGTCTCTCTGGGAAAATACATCTTCGAAGGACTTTTTTCCACCCTCTCAATACTGTGTTCTCAGCATCCAGGTTGCACAAATCCACATTCCCCATCTGGGTCCCAGCCCAGACACGGCAGCTCTCCAGACCCCAGTCCCCAGCTCCCTCAGGATGCTGAGAAGGTCCAGGCCTTGGCCCGGCTCTCCTTCCTCTGAGCCCTCAGTGAGGGGGGCTAGGAGCCCCCCACATCCCACCTGCCCAGGAACAGCCTCATCCCGTGACCTCGGCTTGGGAAAGTGAATGCTGCAAATTCAGCCCTAGAGGCTGGGAGAGTCTGCTCTGAACTAGAGAAAAATTCCTATCCACCCCAAGAGCATCAGGGCAGGGGTCCCAAACCCCTCACTTGGCGCGAGGAGAAACTGAGGAAAGGCCACTTGTCCGAGCTCACATAGACCCCAGGAGGTTACCCACTTCTCCACACTCCCAGCCCAGGGTCCTTCCCCTCGTCGTCTGCTCCCTCCTTGATACGGAGTCCTGAGTGCACCCCAGTAAAGATTCCTCATTTGACTTCAGGGGACCCAGGGTGAAGCATGCATCAAACAGTCAAAAGAGGCAGCCCTTCCTTAGCCTTGGGCCCCCACCTGCCTGCTGGCAACCGCTCCCACCTTGCCCCCTTCTCTCCTTGATTCCGTAAGCCAATGAGATTCCCCTCTCCAGGACGGCCACTGCCCCCCCCCCCCGAACACACCCTCTGCCTTCTCACCAGACTGAGCCCTGTCCTTCCACACACAAGGGATGCTGGGGAACCCACCTGACTGGCACGAACAGTCTAGGTCAAGATCACGAGTTCCACCTCCCACCTCCAGGCCTTTGGCCAGGCTGTCCCTCATGCCTGGAATGCTCTCTCTCCTCACCTCCATGTCTTGAAACTCCAGGCTCCCTTCAAGTCCAGCTCTGGTCATCGCTCCATATACGAGACCTTTCCTGAATTCCGCCCCCTCACCTCGGTAGTACGTGCTCTCCCTCTGTCTCTGTCTCTCCATCTCTGTCTCTCTCTCCAACTCTCTGCCTCTGTCATACACACACACACACACACACACACACACACACACCTTGTAGTTCTTTGCAGACACTTTGTAATGATGGTCCTATGCCCATCCTGTGTATCCTGGCCCCCTCCCCACTAGTAGAAGAGAAGTCCCTTAAGTTTCCAGTACAAAAGCATTCTTCCTTTGGCTTTAGAATCAGATCCCACCACATGTGGCCTTCACGGGTGAATCCCTTCCCAGAATATGCTGTAGCCTGGGGCCCCACGGTCCACCTCGGAGACATTCCTGGCTTTCCCCAGGAAGCCTCTCTGACTCTGCTCCAGCAGCTTTCTGGGGTTCCTGCTGGCATACTCTCCAGGGAAATGGGCGCAGAGGGGGTAGTGGGAGCAGTTTCCAGAGGCTGAGCCTTCCACAGGAGGTCTCAGCATTCCACTCCTGCCCCAAACTGAACCCAGCCTCACTAGCATCAGACAAGACGGAATCTGGGCAGAGGGTGGCCATGGCGGTGGTGGGACCCTACCCTGCCTATGTCTCTATCCGACGGAGGAGAGAGCTGGGGAGGGGTGGGGCCCCTGGCCAGCCATCAGAGGGAAGCTCTGAGCCCAACAAAGCCTCTCGTAAAACCCAAGGTCTCCTGAAAGCCTAGGGTAGAAAGAAGGAACCACTGTGTGCAAAAACCTGGTGATTTTCTAGCAAATATCCTTTGTTCACTCAGCCCATAAACCTTGGCCGGGAACCTTGGAGGGAAGGGCCCACCCGGGCTGCGCTGTGGAAGATGTGGCCCCTGCCCTCAGAGAGCTCCGTCCAGCCTCAGATAGGGGCACGCAAGGCCACAGATCCACCCCCTGCCAGGAAGCACCAGTCTTCTCTCTCTATTTCTACCCTCTCCTCGGCAAGACCCTGAGCCCCAGGGGGCAGAGGCCATATCCCGTTCCTCTCTCTACTCCTCCCCATAGCCCTGGGCACCGTGGGTAGCTCTCCCAGTCCTCAGTAGGTGGGCCTAGAGGCGAGGTGGGGAGCAGTTCTGATCCTCCCTCTCTACCCCGCCAGGCTCTGCAGCTGGCATAGATGGGCTGAAATCCCCACCAGCTGAATGTCACTAGAGCCAGTAGTAGGAGGCGCTGGGGAAAAGGAGGGAGGCACTGTCCTTTAGGGCTGCCGTGAGTGCCTGTGAAGGGGACCAGAAAGAGGGAGCACCCTGTCAGGGGCTGCTGCAGCAGTGGCCGGGGGCCTGTGTGGTCAGATAGGGCCAGTAGAAGGGATGAGGAGCCCCCATCGGTGTGTACGTACCATCCAGAAGAGGGTCCCGGTGGCCAAGGTAACATACTGCTCGATGGTGGAGAGCACGCTGAAGATGAGGCAGATCAGAACAATGAGGAAGCTGGAAAACACCCCGAGAAACAGGTGCTTGTCAGTGCTGGGGCTGGGGGGCTCCAGGACCCTCCCTCACCTCCATACCCGCTGGCCTCGGCACCACAGGGCTCCCACTGCCCCTCTGAGATGCTGACTCTAGAGGGACCGGGAGGAGGGAATCACCCCCTGCCCTGCCAGATGGGGCAAAGGGAATTCCCTAGGCACCATTCAGTCCGTGGCACCTCTCAGCACAGCCCAGATTGGCAGTAATGACCCTCTTGTGCCTGGAGCTGACCATGGACCCGGGAAGGCTCTGCCAGCTGAACAGGAGGGCTGGCACACGGCTGCCAAGCTGTGGCCTCAGAGGCGGGCGCTGTGTGAGTGTGCGCGTATGAACATGGGTGTGCCTGCACTGCGGCTGGTAGGGACCCAGCGTGCTCGGTCCAAGAGGCTCCCTCATTCATCAGATGGTGGGATGCCGGGAGCTGAATGTTTGGGAGACCAATTCCAAAGGCTTGGAGGCTGGACTTTATGTCGCTGGAGGAAAGTCCCATGCAGATAAAATCATGGATCCTCCCCCTCCCCCTCAACTCCTCACCCTAAACCTGAGATAACGGGGACTCAGAGGGCACAGTTTTCAGTATCTCCCTCCAAATCCCTGGCCACGGGAGGAGGCGGGGAAGGGGACCGGGAGGGAATGTCAGCCACCAACGTGAGTTTAGTGTGGATTCCAGCTGGACAAAGAGGTGTCCCAAAGCCCAGAGGAAAGAGGCCTTCATGGAGGAGAGAATGATGCCCAATGTCAGAGGCTGCAGAGAAGCCTAGGATGAGGATGAGAAGGAGAAAAGTCCCCTGGATGGAGAGATCGCTGGAAGAGACCAGCCACGCAGTCCCAGGATTGCTCTGCCAAGCAAAGCCCATCCATTTGCTTCTCCTCTCCAGCCACCATGCCCTTCCCTACCCCTTGTCTGTCTGCAGAGAACCCCGCATGCCATCTCTAGGACGCTCTGTTAAATCCACCGACTTTCCCGCATCTCAACACACCGCTCCCTAGCCTGACCACTAGATGGCAGCAAAGACCAGACTATGGTCCAGGCCACCTCAAGGCCAGAGACCCATAGAACCAGGGAGGTCCCTGCTACAGCAGGACAGAAAACCCATAGCTGGTGAAGGCCCGCTGGGACGTGGGCTCCATGCAGAATCATTCTTGTCCTCTCCTCAGGAAGCCCTCCTTCCTTCCCCCACCTCAGCCTCTGTCCCCTGGGCTTCTCAGCCAGCTGAACCTCTGGGGGTCCCTCCAGTCTATGGGGACAGCACGGGGTGCACGGGGGCTGTCCCTTCACTTCTGATCCTGTCGGCTGCCTGCAAAGGAAATGCTCCACTTTACTCAGAGGACTCGTTTTTCCCACCCAAGTTCACAGACATCTCCTCCCCCAAATCTGCACAGGTCCCCAGGTGAAGAAGCCCTGTTCTAGAGCTAAGGCTGGCCCTGGCTGGATGGCCTGCTTAGCTCCCTCCTGCCTGTGTGACCTTGAGCCTGTCTCTGCCCTCTCTGGGCCTTGGTGACCTGTAGGCCAGCTCCCGAGCTGCTGGCTGGCAGCGAGGATGGCCCAGAGCCAGGATCCTGGGGGGTGGGGAGCCCAGAGAACATATCAAAGGTGAGCTGGGCCAGGAGGGCTGCTGATAAGGACAGGGCCTGAGGCAAGCCCAGGACAGGGAGCTGCAGATCTCAGGGACAGTCAAGGGGAAACCATTCAGGTGGGGGCGGCCAGCCAAGAAGGGAGGGAACGAGGACAGAGCGATGCGACTGCCCTGGGACAGGCTGGCCGGCCAGCTGAGGGCACGCGAGGCCTGGCAGCCCGGAACTGGGGGACTGGCCCCCCAGGCAGACCCAGCCCACCGAGGGGAAGCTGCACTTTGCAGGCCCCGTGCAAAGAGGGGAAGCCGGGCCCCACAGGCTCCCAAGATCCCCTTTGTTCCAGGCAGAAGAAGTGAGATTTTTTCCTTTTCAGAAAGAGGGCAGCATTGGATAGGAAATAGAACCCTGACTTTGGAGCAGGCACAGAGACCGCAGATCCTGGCTTGGCATTTACTGCCTGCGTGACCTTGGCAAAGTCAGTCAGCTAATCACTCAGTCAGTCAACTAACATTTTTCAAGTACTGACTGTGCCAGGCACTGTGCTAAGGGCTGTCAAATGAGAGGGATGGGCTCAACAGGCCCCTTCCAGCTCTCAGTCTTCCCGTGCTGAGGACCGGCATCAGTTTCAACGATCAGAGAGAACGCTGGCATTCAAAGCCTTCCATCTCCACCTTGTCTCCTGCCCCATTCAGGCCGCTGCTCCCCAAGGCATGCGCCATTCCTGCCACGGCAGGACCTCCTGCCTCCAGCCCGTCTCCTCTCCCCCAGCTAATCCCTACCCATCTTTCCCTCCTTCTCTTCTACTCCATACCTTCTCTTGCTGGCCTCTGTCCTCCTATACCCCTCCCCCACAAGATGGACAGCTCCCCGAGAAGGCCCAGCCAGCAGAGTCAAGCCCAAGGTGAGCGCACAGTAGGGGCGAAGAGCCAGCTAACAAGAGGAGGAAACAGGCACCCCAGAGGGGGCAAGGGCTTGCCTAGTCACTTGGGTGGGAAGTGACGGACGAGACTGGAGTTCTGTGAGCCCGTGCAGAAGTGACTCTGAGAGCGTAGCAAGGTCGAAGGACAATTCGGGGGTGAGCTCCCCATCAGCATAAGGGATGCCAGCACACACAAAAACTTTTTTTGGTCCCGCCTTCCCTTCGTCCCAATGGCAAAAACTTTCCAAGGACAAGGGCAACATCGCCCTTCTCCCGGTGCTAAGCGCCAGCTTATCTGATCGCTGTGTCACGGGGACACAGAGAAAGTCAGAGTTGAAGCAGGGAGAGGCCTTGACTGAATCACTTGGAGAGAAAAAAATTTCCTCCTGGACTGAGAAAGAGACAGGACCATTGTTTCTAGAGCTGAAAGGGACCTTGGAGATCTTCAGTTGACAGATGGGGAAACTGAGGCAACTTAGTTCAGGGATGAGACTTTCCCCTGCTCACGAGGGCTCGTTGTTGAGTCTAGGAATGTCCCTGCTACAGCATCAAGGACACGTGGGCATCCGGCCTCTGCTCGGAGCCCCCCGGGGAGAGAAGTCAGCCACAAAGTCCATGAGAAAATCGGATTCCGCTCACGAAGCTCAGACTACACACATTTCGGGAACATGACTGCCGCCTAAAGCGAGGTTCACCCGGCCTGGCCCTTCTCGGCCAGCACCTCAACACTCTCTACTGGCCCTCAGAATCTTTGGGAGAACCATGGAGCCCTGGGTTACGTGGCCAGCTGGCCAGCAGCCTCCTCTGCTTAGGGTCCTCACCCCCGTCACCAACCACAGAAAAGGGGCAGCCCCTCTGGCTTGAATGGCCCCTCTGAGCTGTCCTGGATGGTACTGACCAGGCCAGGAAGCGGGGCACGCCAGGCTTCGTGGGGCCAGGCCCTGTACAGCCGGGCCTCACCTCAAATGAGGCACCTGCTGGAGGTGTGGGCTGCCCAGCTCCAAGCCCCTGACGCTGTCCCTGGGTCCTCTCCTAGGGTCCACGAGGCTCTGAGGGAAGGGGGAGGGCTCTCACAGGCCCAGGAGCCATTAGAGGTGGTCGCTGACCCCCCCATGGGGGCTCCCCCTCCCCCCAGTTTGCCCAGGGCTGGCTCAGAGGACCCCTGCATCAGAGCTGACCCGGCCTCCTTCCATGTGGACAGAAAACGAGGGCCCGAAGTTCTTGCCATATTTTTTAAAATCACATGGGCGTCCAAATATTTTAACTTGTACAATGAGCTAGGGTATCTGTAATTTGGTCTCCTTTTTTAACTTGGAGAACTAAGACACTGCCTGAACATGTAACTATGCTTCACTAAAGATGTGATTATTATAAGTTTTAGCTATGTCCTTTAAAGATATTTAAATGTAATTTACATTCACACTGCCTGTAATATTGCTTTTTCAAGTCTGTATTCATCAGATGCATGTTTTTGTTTTGGCATAAGCTACTGGCTAATTTTTCTTGGCATTTGGTCCATATTATAGACTTTTTTGGAAGGAATGGAATCAACTTCTCACAAGTTGTGAATAAATACATTTTTACATTTAAAAATAATAATAAAAAAAGAAAATGAGGGCCAGAGAATAAGGGCCCGGACAGGAGAGGCGTGTGAAGTTGTGAACACGGACATGGGCACTTGTGGAAACCACTAACCCCACACTGACAAAGGGAGGGAGGGAGTCCGCTGGGAAGGCAGACCAGCCCCTCCCTGCCTCTGGCTGCCCCCGCCCCAGCCACAAGGCGCCTTGGAAGGCCTGTCGGGGATGGCAGAATAGGGCGGCATGCCCAGGGTCTCACCCCATCCTCCAGCGCCCCAGAAGCCCCAGCCTGAGCTCTGAGCAGACACAGTCACATATGCACTCACAGACTCAGACACACAATCACACAATCACACAGTCACGCACACCATTTAATTATAGAATATCTGTGTGTGTGTACATGTATTATATAGATATATTGCATATACATACATATATATTCAGATACTTTTTGGCAAAAAGAATTCCCAAGGTAGTTACCAAAAAAGAAGATGAATGAACGGATGAATGATCATTTCTCAAGTGCCTGACGCCCAAGCCCTAGGGACACAAACAGTAAAGTGAGGCGGGCCCTGCCCTCTCTTTGGCCAATGCATATCTGAATATATATTTTTAATTAAAAGGATTCTTTGAACCCTGCAGCTGTGATCATGGAATAAAGACCGGGATGAAAGCCTTCCTTCTCGGCATCCCCCACGCCCGGAATACCCTCTGCCCGCCCCCTCCAGGAAGCCCTCCTCCATCGGCCAGGACTGGTTACACCTTCCTGCAGTCCCAGACCCTTGGCTTTCTTCTCATCTTGGCACAATGCACACGGCAGGAAGACCCGCCTTCCAATTCTGCCTCCCACATGAGTGCTGTGGCCCTGGGAAGGTCATTTGAGACTCTGT